AAAATGGGTGAAACCACTCAACAAAGAGGGCAAATACAAAATAGAGATGGAAGAGGAAGTGAAGAACCGAAGGAAAGATCCGCACACGGACGATCCCAAGCCCTGAGAATCCCTTCCGCAGCTCCTGGAGGCGCCCAATGTGAGAATGAGGGTTTCTCCCTCGAAAATGGCTTCAAATACGAGCTTGGGAGATCAGATTAGGGTTTCGCGCCCGGCGCGTAAGTCTTCGCGCCCGGCGCAGGCTCTTTTGAACACTCTCTGCCTCAGTGTAAGCCCGGCGCAATTTCCTTTTACGCCCGGCACAACGTCTTCCAGAGAGTTCAAATACTCTCTGTCTTGATCATGCCCGGCGCGGGTAGTCTCGCGTCTGGCGCAGGTGAACTTGCAGAGATTGGTGCTCTGTTCTTCTCAAGCCCGGCGCGGTTCATCTTGCACCCGGCGCAGCCACTCTGCTCTGCTCCTTAGCTCCTTAGATTTCCAATCCCAAGGATCTTCAACTTTCCACTTTTCACTCAATACCGGCACAAAAAATAAGGTGGATTAAGGTATTGTTAGATCGTCGCAAATTATATTTTCATGAAACACAAGTAAATAACGACCGATTTAGCGACCGATTTTCTCGCTACCACTCTAATCCGTCGCTAATTCGGTCGCAAAATAGCGACTGAAAAATTTCAGTCGCTAAATCGGTCGCTAAACAGCGACTGATAAATTTTGGTCGCTAAATCAGTCACTATTTTAATCAGTCGCTAATTCGGTCGCTAAACAGCGACCGATAAAATTCGGTCGCTAATTTCGGTCGCTATTTTGTATTTTTCTTGTAGTGTATCCCAATCCGACTAGGGTTAGGGCGTACAATACAAAAATTTACATCAAAAGCCACCATGCCAAGTGTCTGAAACAAACGAAACATCAAAAGAACTCAGCTCCACCTGTCAGCTACAGACTCACCCCTGTCCACCACCTATCCCTGCTCTGCTCCCATACATAGTATGATCATCACAGTCCAACCACATGAAAAACAAAAAGGGTAAGCTAGCATAAGAAGAATCCACATAAAAGAAGATTTAAGTAACAAGAACAACTATAATTTATCAACACTTCATCAATATGCACCCCATCAATCCTTACACTATAATCATCCATAAACATCCAAAAACATACAATGCGTCATCATGCATATCAACTCGGAGATCTCCTACAACAACTCAGCCTTACGGCCTACAACAACTCAGCCTTTCGGCCTACAACAACTCAGCCTTTTGGCCTACAACAACTCAGCCTTTCGGCCTACAACAACTTATCCAACAATCAACACAACTTTTCTACATTCAAGACAATACAACTTTTAGCAACATAATTAATTATAGTTCAACATTATTATCTACTAATCATCACATCATATCCAACAATTTCAACTCACATCATCATAAAACAACCTTCTACAGCATATAGTGAATTGTCATCTCCGCGCCCGGCGCACTCGTGGTTGCGCCCAGCGCGGCACAACCAGAGAGCACCAGGGACTAACACGCTCGACGCAATACCTATTGCGCCCGGCGTGAGGGAAGGCAGAGACCTCATAGGATCTCACATGCCCGGCGTACGAACCCGCGCCCAGCGCAGGGTAGGCAGAGACTTTCTCCAAGTTTCACGCTTGGCGCAATATATATTGCGCCCAACGCCACCTCTGGCAGAGACTCCCATGGAGTCTCCACACCCGGCAAGACATCCTCAAGCCTGCCCGGTGCATTCACCATTGCGCCCGACGTGCTTGCCTAAATGGAGTCTCTGATGGTCACGCGCCCGGCGCAAAGAACTACGCCTGGCGTGATACCCCGCAGCAACCCTCAAACTTTCAAAAATCTCATCAAAACTTGTAAAATAACCAGGAAATCTCACATGCAATCGGCCCAAAATAATGCATTTCCATCAAGCATCACGAAAAACCTCTCATTTCCAACATACAACCATAGAATCAAGAAAACCCAAATTTTGGCAATGAAACCCCAAACTCCCAAAAATCCATTTTTAGCAATCACCACCAAGAATCAACAACCATCAATCAGAAATTGAGTTTTTAGAACTCGTTTGCTCCCAAAATCCGCAAGAACTAGCTTCCCTTACCTCGGGCAAAAGATCCAAGCTTCGGGAAATGGAGGACGAAGGGAAGAAGGAGGAGTCTGAAAACGAATGGAGAAGAGAGACAATTCTTCAGCTAGCTCTGCCCTAGACTTGAATCAGCACCTTCAAAACCAAGGTCACCACAAGAAGATGAATCAACAAATAGGAGGAAGGAGAAAGTGAGAGTGAGTTGAGAAGAAGAAGATGAATCAGTCAAAATGAGTGAAGGTAGGGTTTTGGGGAAGAAAAGAAAAAGGAAAGGGTCTCACAAATATGATTAAAAAAATATATTTAGTAATATTTTTTAAAAAAAGAATAAAGGGAATGTATTTAATAAAAAAAGGGTGCAAGAAATACAAATAAAACGGGTTAACCCATTAAATAAATAAAAACAAATATAAAAGGATTTAGAATTAGGGTTTTTCATTCCGAATCCACTACGACCGCGAGTAGCAAGCCAAAGGTTTGGAGGGTTTCGTCGCCGACGGTTTCGAGCAGGTTGAAGGCAGGGTCTCTGTCGACGTTGCAAGATAGGACTCATGATGATTTGGTAAGGTTTGAGATTGAGATTATTGTTCTTCCGCAGATTGAGATTTAGGCCAATGATGATTTGGTAAGGTTTGAGATTAAGGCAACACTTTTTGTTCACTCTTTAGGATCTCACTAGTGAGTCACTATTGTTGATTTGTTGTTTACTTTGTGAAGAGTATGGCGCAGCATGCGTATCTAATTGTTTATTTATCTCTTGTGTGTAATTGGTAATGTGTGTTTGTTTTCACGGTTGACCTATCATTATAGTTTTCCTCCATATTCACTCACATTATTGAGAAGAAATGGATTATAATCTTATTTTTGAAGGGAAATGGAATAATTTCAGAACTCTATTTGGAGATGATTTTGGAAAGCTGGAAAACTTGCTAGTAATTTTTTCAGCAAAATGATTATTACTCAAGATTTCTGCAAAGATATGATGTGTTGCCGAGGGAACTTAAAGTCTAGTATTGGGTGTGGAAAGTTATATTAAATAAAGTATTTAAAATAATAAGTACATATATAATATATATATATATATATAAATAAAAGTTAGTGGTAAATTTAAATTATAATAATTCCTAATGTTACAATTTAAATCAGCAAAATATTATCATTCATCATTTTTCCATCCCTTGAAATTCTCTACCTGTTCTCCACTTTCTCACTAGGTTGGCTTAAATTCACTTAGTGCTTCTTTATATTTCCCCCTTGTTCTTCATACTTGATCTTAGCCATATGATTTGCATATCTATTTATAAAAATGCATATGAATGAGACCAAAGTTGGTGTAAAAATGCAAATTTTATGTTTTAAAAACAATGTTTGATTTGGAATTCTAGGAATTAACAGCAAAGTGAGTTCTTGTTTGTCATTTTGGTGTCTTGGGAGATTTCTGAAGATTCATGCACAATTATTCTACACCTCAATGAATCATTGTAAAGCAATACATTAAAACATAAATTTTGAATCTGGGTTTTCACTAGATTGAACTTACTCTTTAACCACATTTTTGTTGTCCAAGAACTGTACAATTTTATTTCTGTAAACTTTGGTCATTCCTCTCAAAATCTGTCACTGGCATTACTGTCATTCCTAGGACTCATTTAGGGAGTGCTAAGGACTCAAGCATATTTATTTATTCGGTTTATATTAGTTAGTTTATCTATAATTCGTTCTGTCTATAAATAAATGAAGTATTGATTTGGAGAAGGAAGAAATTGTGAAAGATAACAAGACGAGGAATAATGCCATGAACTAGAGTAAGAAATTTTTGACTCCCCTTATTTTCATGTCTTGTTTGTATGAATGTTGTTGCAGGTAATGCTCATCAAGATCTTGATGATGTTAATGACGAGGCATAATCCTTGCTTTGGGAGTGCTTTGATAGGATATGTGACATCGAGACTTCGATTAAGAATATTTTTATCAATTTATAGGATTCAAGTTTAATTTTCTATTTTTGCATAGTAGGATGTTTATTTCAAAGTTTATTATGTGATACTCTTTATCCTATGTTAGAGATTTCATTTGAATTATTTATACATGAATTTGGATTAATTTTTATAAATATATGTATTAAGAAATCTTAAATTTATCTATGTATGTAAAATAAAGGGTGTCACATCATACAAAAATATTATATATATATTTTTTAAATATGCTTGATAATATTTATAGGAGGAAACATCGTTCTTAGGTAAACTTAAGGCAGGATACATTTAAGAGAGGCAATAGTTTTCCCCTTAACATTACCCGTATATATTAATTGAAATGTACACATTTTAGGTTTAAATTCAATTTTTATTCTTTTAATTTGGTGAATTGATTTTAGGTTCTTAATATTTTTTATTGTAAATTTACTTTTGTAGTTTTTAAAATTAAGTAATGTTGATTTATTTATAATATTTTATTTAATTAAATAATTTATTTATAGAATAAATCACAGTAAATAGAATTCTTTTTAGATACAAAAAAAAAGTATTTCTCAACCAACCAATTGTGTGTAAAAGGTGATTAATAATTAATATGTTCAATTCAAATTTACTTGCAACATACCCCAATAGACCTTGCCTCCTCATTGATATAAGACCCATCTTTTTTCTTGTGAGTTGCAATGTATAGTTCACCTCGACCCACAACACGTCCAAGCTCTTGTTCCTAATAGAAATGACAATGTAACTCCAAATGAACAATATAAAAATTCTTTATTAAAGCTCAATAACTGAAGACAAATATTTACCATCTCATGTTGTTTCGTAGACAACAATTTTGCACCACCGGTATGTGGAATCATTTGCTTTTTTCTTACTTCAGTATTTTTTTTGCACAATTCCTATAAAAAAATAATTTATTTATTAAAACGTCAAGCTAAAAAAATAATTAATGATCATAAATATTTGTTAAAACTACCTGATAATTTGGCCTTAGATGATAGTCAACAAATGATGACCATTGATCTTTATGAATACCATCAGGAACTTTAGCAATTAACTGTTCTCTTGACAATGAAGGGTCATAAACACGGTTCCACATATTTATCTTTACATTCCTATACTTTCTTGACATGGCAAGTGAACAATAACGCTTAGCAATCAATTCTGAAGCCTGAAAATGAAATAGATTCTTTAAACAAAAAGAAAAACATAGGTTAGTATATCATAATTACAAAAAAAAATGACCATAAAATTTGACTTAAGCATGTACCTTTAAAGTGTTAAAGCAATCATCCTTATATGATTTTGGAACTTTTATCCAACTCTCAAAGTTAATGGGAATATTTTTTGAATCAGTGGAAATACGCCCACAAGCTCCTAAAAGAAGTGTCGCTGCTTCTCCATAGGCTCGTTTTTGCCTATCAAATAGCACAACTATACGTTCACCACGAGATGAATTATTAAAGTTGGTGGGATGAATTAATGGAGTTGGTGCCATGTTCTTTTCCTCATCGACTTTAGCTACTGATTTGGACCTTATAGACAGCCGAATCTGAAAATATTTCCTTCATGAAAGTTGTAGGATTTTCTCTTATCTTTCCATAGCCACCAAGTTTGTATCATTTGAACAACCACCGACCAAGTTATACCCCACAAACCGAGGCTTGCCAATCAGTCCAGCGAGAAACAATTGTATCAATCAAATTCCAATTTTGACCTCCTAAACGACCGATTTTGCAAATGGCTATTTCTGTAAAAGTTGTGCGTTTTTCTCTTAGATTTCCATTGACACCAATTTTGCATCATTTGGACCATCACAGCCCAACTAATGCCCTAAACACCGAGGTTTGCCAGTCAGCCCAGCGAAAACGATTTTATTGAAAAGAAAGTTTACAACTATCTAATTAAGCCCAACAATATACATATATTTCTAAAGCCTATAATTAAGCATAAATGGAGTATGAATTAGCTACATTTGGAATAAAAGATAACTACCAAATATCATAATAATAATAGTAACCATTTTGGAAAACTGGGGTGTTACAAATGTAACATGCATATGTTGTAAGCTTTTTTAGTAGACTTAAATGGAAGATATATATATATATAGGTTTTGTGATCTTCATAAAATTTGTAGCCTTGGATGTTATGTTTCAAATTCCATTGGAATAATCTAAAAAGGAGGTCTATAACTCAAGTTATGAATAAATTAGTAAGCAAAGGTCATGTTGTCAAATTTAGGCATAAACATTGCGGTTTTGTATTTATTTAAAATAGTAGATGGCTTAAACGTTCCCAAATATTTTCCATTTTTAATTAAATTTTAGTCTTCCTTATGATTCTTTTACCCTTGTAATTATTGTAATTATGATTATCTATGATTAATTTCGTGTATTGATGTTTGTTGATGTGATTTGAGTTGTTGGTGGGTTCCTATCGAAATCCTAAGGGAATGCATTTGGGTAATTGTATGAGAAGATATTATGAGTATGTAATTATGTGAAATTAAGATTGAATTTGTGTAATTGATGGTGTGATAGACTAATATTAGGCTTTAATATGTGTTTTTATCAATTGGTTTTGGAGAGAGAGTCTAGATATGAGTTGTGCCTAATTCTGAAAATTTTGATACGAATATACCTTGATATTTATGTGGTTTCTAAGTATGTGATTAAGGAAATTAAATTCCAATTGTTGGGTTAGAAAGTATACTTTTGGATTAGATGCAATAATTACATAAAAATGATAAGAAATGAGTGAATTATGTTAGTCACAAGATGAGTCTCATATTTTGTGGGTGAAATATAACATCTGACACTTATAAGCATTGCGAGAGCCTTTAGATGGCCGAATTAGGTTGTGTTATTCATAAGAGTTGTAGGCCTAAGTTAGCTTTTCAATGACACTATAGTCACCCAAAAAGGAGGCTAGAACTCAAGTTGTAAGACCCGCACCTCCCACTCCTCAAAACCCTTCCCTTCTCATTTTCCATCTCTTCCTTCACTTTACTCTATCCCATTCCTTTTCTCAAACTTCCTTGTGGTGATTGCTTTGTTTGTAGGTGCTGAGCAAGGAGCTAGCTGAGAGCACCGGTCCTTTCTTCCTACTTCCATTTCTCTTCTTCTCCTCCTCTTCCCCGGAAGCTTGGATTCTTCTTCTCCGAGGTAAGGGAAGTTAGGTTTCGTGTGGATTGCTTGTAAATCGGTTAAAGAACTCATGTAATGCTTGAATTTAGGAGATTGATGGCCGAATTTGAAGAGTTATGCATTTTTGGGGTTTCGGGAAAATTGGGGAAAATGGGGATTTTTATGCGTTTGATGGTTGCATGTTGAAAAAGAGATGGTTTTTGAGTTGAATGCTGTAAATGTAGTTCATTTGATGGGTTGCATGTGTTTGAGTTGACTAATTTTGCAGGTTTTGGGTGAAATTTTCAAAGTGGTGAGGGTTACTGTTTGAAATTGCGTCGGGCGTGTGTCCATCAGAGAGCTCCATTATTCAAGCATGTCGAGTGCAAGGTTGGTTGCGCCGGGCGAGGTTGGGAATGGAAGTCCCTGGATGGCTCACGCCAAGCGTGGGGAGAACCGAGCTGGGCGTGATATCAGATAGTGACTCAAAATTTTGGGTACTGTGTTGAGATTTCCGTTAAAACACTTTTGTTTAAATCTATATATCAGTTAACTTCCATTAACGGTCTCAAACACGGCAAGTATATCGGCCGTTCAAGTAGTAAAAATATCGTATCCACAGGGATTAGAAGGTAAAATAAGCATTTATTGACTATTTGTGACTAAAGAATACTTCCAATTTCATAGTTTGTGAATTGAATTCAAAGTTATGACTATTGGAATGTCAAAACTATAAAAATAATTGATTTAGAATGGAAGAGGTAAGAAATGGTATTGTGGTATTGTGAGGTTGTGGGGGTTAGACTTCACCAAACGTTACACTACTGAATCCTTAATCTCTTGTTACATACATTGCTTAGTCAACCCATAAGTTTACTCAAACCTAATCCCTTAGAGAAAGTGCCTAGGTGCGGATATTGAATATCAATCCCTTGAGTACCCAATACCTACACCCGCATTACGGACTAGGGTTTAAGACTACTAATGGGTCAAGCTTTATCCCTAGATACAATCTCCACTAGGCATATGTTCCAGAACTAGTTTCAATAGTAATTCCCAATACTCGATGGAACCTTAAATCATGCAAAGGGTGATCAATCTAAAGCAAGCATTAAGAATAGAAACAAACACAACAATGAATGAACAACATATATATATATATATCATAGAAAACGTAAGGATTACAATAGGATTCGTTGGTTACATCTAATCCCACAAAAATGGGTAAAACCACTCAAAATGAGGGTGAAAACAAAATAGAGATGGAAGAGGAAGTGAAGAACCGAAGGAAAGATCCGCACACAGACGATCCCAAGCCCTGAGAATCCCTTCCGCAGCTCCTGGAGGCGCCCAATGTGAGAATGAGGGTTTCTCCCTATAGACTTTGCTTGAGTTTCCCTGGTGGTTTGCTTATGTTGTGCATTTATATGATCAAGGCATTCATATTCCTTTATTTTGTTAACCTTCTAAGCCAAAAGCCATCTCCACTTTTCACTTGACCCATACCTTCCTAAGCCTAAACACCACACCTTCCACTTGTCCCAAACCATGAAAAAAAAATTAACCATAACCCTTGCTTTGGTTAAGAGAGCAAACTGATGATATCAAATAAGTTTGGGGGAGTTGAAGAATGAGAGATCAAAGAGCTGAGAAAAGTAGTGACTATCTGTGTATGCATCCTCACTAGGAAAGTGTTTCTCTCTATGCAAACTAGTGTATAGGGTGAGTGTTTCTCTCTAGTCTACTACTCACGCCACATGATTCAACTTTGCTCTTCGTTTCCAAATGAAACCAGTGGTAAAACAAATGCAAGCAATTATCACAAGGTCTTTATTAGGGCAAATCTAGGTCAAGCAATAACTATTTTATGATTTTTCAAGGATTGAAGGTGCTATACCTTAAGAGAGCAAATAAGATTTTACAATGATGTCCCTCTCCATACCCTCATACAACATTTTGCACATGCCCTTAACCGGATCCAAGCCATTAGCCTTTATGAGATGCATATTTATTCTTTTGCATCTTAATATTTTTTTTTATATATATATTTTGTAATGGCTGACCACATACTTTCTTCTTCCCAAAATTCCCCATTCTTCAACTCCCCCAAACTTATTTGATATCATCAGTTTGCTCTCTTAACCAAAGCAAGGGTTATGGTTAATTTTTCATGGTTTGGGACAAGTGGAAGGTGTGGTGTTTAGGCTTAGAAAGGTATGGGT